TTAAATATATTCTGACAATGATGTAGACAACGAAGAAAGGTATTGTTAAGACTGATTTAGTAAAGTTTTCTAATTTTCTTTTTAAAAAATCTCAAAAAATTTTGATGTTTTTTGCTTGGATATTTTTTTTTTGGTATCTAATACCCATTTTAATCTTCTAACCCTAAACCCTAAACCGAGAGACATAATCGAACTCAGATGCCAATCTACCATCCGTATAGTAATGATATTGTCTGTAAATTCCTCGTTACATATAAAAGTAAATTTCTAATCGCGTCTACCTTTCAAATATCATTAACCAGACATAACTAAATAAAGACATAACTAATACCTTACACTCTTTTTCTGAAGTATTATATAATTTTTTTGCATTTCCATATTATTCTTGTTTTTATTTAAAATTTAGAACATATACATTATCATTATAAAACATTGATTGAATCAGAATATTCTCGTGTCCCTTGTACCGTCCATTTCTTATCCGAAATTCAAGTTAGACCCCGGCCCGGGGCTGGCTTTTTGGGAACTTGTACGTAGTCGTAGTCTATGTCTGGGGAGCATATTCCAAGCTGATAAACGAAGTAAGAAAGATATTTGAAAACAAGCTGGTAAACGAATGGGATGATATTTTCCATTACCCAATTTTTTGTTACCGTTCCATTTTGGCAAGAGACACGGCCAGACAAATGATCCTTTTCAACCTACATTTCATACTGATGTTTATTTATCATTTTAAAATAGTGAAATAACGTGTATTCCATTTACAAAGGATATATATGATCTTATATGGTTAACAAAAAAGATATGATCTCTTATGGATAATTAATAAATATACAATACGTACCGAAAATATATGTATTTTCAGTATTTTATTTTCAACCGAGTAAGAACTTTTCAAGAATCTCATCAACGAAAACACTGATAGAGAAAAGAATGAAGTGAGTCATGTAATTGAATATTATGGATCCAGTCACATCGAAGCTAATACCAGTTTAAAGGTTCATCTTCAAAATACTCAAGCTCTGCGTTATACAATATCTTAGAAGCAACCCGATGAATGAATATATACCCGGCGAGTCGGGGAATCAATTAAATATGGTCCCGATCTGAAGAGATTATTGGTAACTTCTTAACCAAAAAAACTGATGATAAACTCTCTAATTAACTAGTTTGTTCATGTTATATTGAAACCCTAATCCCACATCATTTGATCTTATCTTCTAACTTCTTTCCCACTAATGCTACTTATTCAAAATATTATTTATTACACGAGCTACGGACTAGTATATTTTATATAGGCTTCGCTATTACAATTTCAATTAATAAAATCAGATAATCCAGACTAATCAATTAGAGCCAGATGTCTTAGCGTGATCACAGAGGAGAAATAATTATTCAAAATAGCAATAAAATAACTACTCAGTCTTATTCTCGCTTTACTCAATCCTCTATTAAAAGGGGATAAAGAGCTCTGAACAGAACACATTCACTCACAAAACTCAATACCTTAAGAGACATTTGCAAACTAGCGGAGATTACAATGGTTGAAGAAGCATCTAGTTTGGTCGGGATCCTTGAGACCACCGTGGAGCTAAAGTCTTCACCGGAGAAGTTCCATGACATACTTAACGGGAGGCCACACCATGTCCCTAATGCATCTCCATCAAACATTCAGGGCGCTGAGCTGCAGGAAGGCGAAATGGGCCAAGTTGGTGCTGTCACCTTCTGGAATTACGTTCATGGCAATTCAACTTTCTCTGTTCTTATATAAAATATTTAGTTAAATCTATCGGTTTCCAACTCAAAAATCAACGAATAACGGATGGATTCATCCCTATGTCTTATATCTAGGTTCTACTAACATGTCATATTTCAAATGTAAGATTTCTAACAATTTTGTGAATGTTAAATTTGGTTCAGATGGGGAGGCAAAGGTGTTAAAACAGAGGATCGAGTCAATAGATCCTGAAAACAATCGGGCCACATACAGGATATTAGAAGGTGATGTAATGAACAAGTACAAAAGTTTCGTGGTCACCTTCCAGGTGACCCCTAAGGAAGGAGAACCTGGAAGTATTGCACATTGGCACTTTGAGTATGAGAAAATCAACGAGGAGGTGGCTCACCCCGAGACTCTACTTCAATTCGCAGTCGAAGTCTCCAAAGAGATCGATGCACATCTCTTGTCAGAGGATTAGAGGAAGACTCTTCATGTCTCTATTCTACATATCCATACATTTATTTGTGTGCTTGCCTTGAATTTTAGTCTTTGAAAGTGCAATAAATAAGGACTAAGGAGGCTTGTCCGAGTTTGCGTGAGAGATATAAATGTGAGTCTGTCATATATGAGTGTATGTATAGTATACTATCGTGTTACGTTGGAAGTTGTCACTTTTGAAAAGCTAAGTGTACCAGCAACAGCTATGGAACTACTCAAAATTTATGTATGCAAATGTTTGTTATAATAATAAAAGCATATGTTTAATTAAATGAATTAAGCCTCGTGATTTTTGCTTTGCGAGAAGATAAGAAGGGGCGAGGCGACCGAAGAATACAAATGAACCGTGACGTAAGTTTACAAACAGAGAGAAAGAGAGCTTATTTTTTACATTACTATTAGTATTTGCTAGAGTACTACTTAACCCAAAAGAAACCCTAGATAGTAGACACCAGACAGTTCATAGTAGTATCCACAATTTCTGGATTCGATAAACCTTAAATTTGTTAAGAAGAAAATACAACCTATTGATTGATGATTAATATCCATTCTGCAAATTTTTATAAGAGTTGAGAGTTCAAGTCTCCATTATGCATTGTTTGTTTTTAAAACATATCCAAAACAACGTAGTTTGTAACTTATACACGGATAGAAAAAATCAATATACCGCGGAAGACTATATTGCGGGTTGACTCTAACTTTATAGGTTGACCTACATTTTTCGAGGGTACAGTCGCAAATTCTAACCGCTTGGAAAGTTATTTGCAGAAAACCTTTAATTAAACGTTTGAATTTTCTTTGTCGTCTGCAACTTCCACATATATGGACTTAAACCTTATTATAACATGGTAGCGACACTGATATTTGAACCTAATGTTTCATTTATTTGTTTAACATTATGGACTAACGTGTCTTCATTAACAAAAGGATATGATCACCCGAGGATCATTCGAAAATATTATAAAAAATTTCTGAATCCCTACTATTCAGCCAACCAAGAAATGTTTAAGAATTTACTACTGTTTATTTATATATCAACAACTACCTGCTGCCACTAAGAAAGATTTATATATCTCAGAGCAGAGACTTGACAATGGCGAAAACGAAAGTTCCGTCGTGAAACGTGTGATTTATGTACAATGCAAATAATTCTAGTGAATCATAATAATGGGATCAGAATCACATGGAACACAACTAATCAAATCATAGAAGTTATTTTAAGAAATAAAACTGTTACTTCTTCAACAGTTGCACAACCATTCCTCTATAAATAGAGGCCAAGGAGCTCACAAGGGAATTCACTCCTCTCTTAAAACACTTTTGACTTTCACAAGATAAGCAGATCAGATAAGGAGAAAGAATGGCTCAAGCGGCAACAACCGAGGCGCCTAGTTTGTTCGGAAAGCTTGAGACAGAAGTGGAGATTAAAGCTTCGGCCGGAAAGTTCCATCACATGTTCGCCGGGAGACCACAACATGTTTCCAAAGCATCTCCAGGTAACATTCAAGGCGTTGATCTGCATGAAGGCGATTGGGGCAAAGTCGGCTCTATTATTTTCTGGAACTACGTTCATGGTAAGTCAACCTTATACACATATTTTTTCTTTTTGTAATAACCAGTGAATACTAAGGGGAGGTTAACTAAGACTAATTTATGACTTATGCAACTTTTATCAGAATACATATAACCGGTTATATTTGATTTATGCTTTAGTTTAGGAGTTTGAAAGGAATTTGATCTTGTTCAGCCAATGAGGGAATTCAATGATTCCGTTAGCATCTGAAAACCATTCGGTTGTGGCGAATAAAAGATATAAGTCTATCTTTTAAACAAAAATAAAGAGATTAGTCTTAGACTTTCACTAAGTTACTACACTTCCGTTTTTTTTTTTAATAACCGGATGATTTTGTGACAAAAATAAAGATAAATAACCGGATGATTCTAAATCGAAAAGCTAATTTTCAGAACATGCATGCGCTATGGGAATTATATAGTACTCAAAAATATGCGTATTATTGCAAAACCGATCTCTAACATAAATCCACAAGATGATGATCACTATAATAGTATCACTTGTGTACATTATAAATATGCTTATTATAATACAGTATGTTTTTCAACTAACATTCAAGTTATCCTCAAAGTCATATATAAATGAAAGGTATTAAATAATTGGTGCAGATGGGGAGGCAAAGGTGGCCAAGGAGAGGATCGAGGCGGTTGAGCCGGAGAAGAACCTGATCACGTTCAGGGTTATAGAAGGTGATCTAATGAAAGAGTACAAAAGCTTCTTGCTCACGATCCAAGTGACCCCTAAGCATGGAGGGCCAGGGAGTATTGTGCATTGGCACCTTGAGTACGAGAAAATTAGCGACGAGGTTGCTCATCCCGAGACTCTCCTCCAGTTCTGTGTCGAAGTCTCCAAAGAGATCGACGAACATCTCTTGGCCGAGGAATAGATCCTCTCATGCATGTGACTATTGTATGATTTGTATCCGTACATGTATGTGCGATTGAAGCATGATGATTCCAGTCTTCGAAAGTGAAATAAATAAGGAGCTGTGTTCGATATTATTAGTAATGTATGAAATGGCTCTAAAGATATGTATTATGTTTCTTTTTCTTTATTAAGTGTATTAAAATTACAAAATTTGTGATGTTTATCTTTGGATAAATAAGCCTTCATATATATAAGAACCCTATAGATTTGTATCTTATAGTATGGCAAAGCATTATACCCCAAAAAAGTGTAATGAAGCAAAATCATCACAAATTATGGATCAAATAGAGATTTTGGCAACTAAATAATAGGACTAATGTAATAGGTAAAATATTTCTTAATATTAGTCCTTTAGCAATCAAAAAGTGATTAAAAACTCTCCTAAATTTTATCACAATTGTTTTTAGCAATCATTTTTATGATGCTATCTTGTACATTTTGCACAATTAAATAAATATCACAATTTATAAAGTGTGATATTCCAAAAACACCGTTCTCAAAGGAACATAAAATAGGAGCATCACACATCTGTTTAATATTCATCTGTTGCTCATCATCGTCAGCATGTTGCCTCGGGTCCCCTCGCCATCACTTGCCCTTTGCCGGCTGCTTCTTATCAATTGAAAACGATTTCGTATGTTCATTATATCTTCACACACTTTTCTTACATTCTTACATGATTGATTTCTTTGTTTCGATGTTGAGTATATAGTTATGTTTGTCGGTGTTTAGTGAGATTTTTTTGTTTTTTTATCATTATTTAAATTTCAGAATTTAATCATGTGTGTAAGTTATATCTGTGTTTCGCTCTATAATTTTGTGATTTAGAGAAGAAAATAGTTTAATTGTAGGAGAACGGTAGGAAAATTTTAATGGATACCGTATAAGAACTTTGAGCACCTTCAATGGGATTTCTTCCCTAGTATCTAAGTAGTTAAAAAATAAAAAATATTATAAAAGTAAGTGAGAGAGAGAGAATGAGTTCTACAACAAGAACCCACTAAAGCTTCTAGACTCATTTGCCATTTGTTTACAATTGGTTCAATATTTTTTTATTATTTATTTTAAAAGTAAATTGTTAAATTAAATAAAAACTATTAAAACATTATATATTCGAAATTTAATGGATTTTTTACCATTGTGGGTGCTCTTATGAAATTTTGTAATATCTTTTTTCTTTGCCGGTTACTGTTTTTTTTTTTTACTACCATTGTGGGTGCTTTTATGAAATCTTGTAATAACTTAATTATGGAATAGGGAGTGATCTCTTACGATCATTCAAATATATTTAAAATTTTCTGGATCTTTAATTATATTCAGTTTCCTAAGAAATGTTTAAGAATATGGCTTATGTATTAAGCTACATGCACCCAATAAGAAATATATCTGAGCAGAGATCAGCGACGTGAATCGTGTGATTGATGAATATATAACTTTATGAACAATGCAAATAATTCGGCAGGTAATGAAATATAACAAACTAAAATAGGATTCACGTTAATACGCGGGTAAATACAATAAAAATTAGTGAAATACAAATAAAATTTTTATTTAGTAACCTGTTGAATTTTAAAATACTATTTAACGTAAATCTTAACACATGTAGAAGTCAGTTTATATCATAATTTTCATGTTGTAATTAATATCATGCAAATCCAAAAATATATAATCAGAATTTAAATCATATTCTTAATAACACAAAAAATATTATTTTAATCCATTATGAATTTTGTGATAGAAATAAAAAAATTAAAATATTACATAGTTAAATCAGAAAAAGTAAAATATATGTTAGTTACCTCATAAAAACTACAAATAATGTTGTGAACCATTAAATAAGTACATGATTGATAAATGTATTTTATTAATGTCATCGTTTTATTTCTCATAAAGGTTTATACTCGCCAAACTTTATACAGTTTTAGCTTCATAGTAAATATAATATTATTATTTTTTAACTTATATAATTTTCAATATATACACTTATCTTTGCATGGTTGTGTATATCTTTAAACTTTTGAATTGCGGTTTTTATAACCTTTCTAAATTTTTTTTCCAATTTATCTACCTTTTTATCATTCATTTTTTAATTATTTTAATTGACATTTTTTCGGGAAAAATTTCAAAAAATGCCACTTTTCAAGTGCCACTTTACAAAAATGCCACACTTTTGAAATCTTTACAAAAATACCACTTTTTCAAAATTATTTTTCTTTATATCATTTATGTTTGGGTTAATTATGTTCTATTAGGGTTTAGTTATGAGGGTTTATGGGGTTTTAGGGGTCAAAACATTTTTTAAGGTTTAGAATTTTAAAATATAGGCTTTATAAATAGAATTTTAAGATATAGGCTTTATAAAGCTATAATTAGTGGCATTTTTGCAAATGAGCATCCCTAAATGGCATTCTTGCAAATGTGCACACAAATGTGACATTTTTGTAATTGCCCCTTTTTCTG